GGCTTCACAGAGGGAAAGTTCATCAAAGTAGCAGAAAGTCATGGGGTTGGGAACAGAAGAGCGATTCAGAGATGTGGAAGAGGCAGACAGACACATAGGCAGAGAATAGGTGAGGTGAGTAGTGTGGAAGTGGTCGAATATGACAAACAGTGGGGTGATGGTAGTTTGAAGTCAGAAGTCAACTGCCGATTAATAGACTTTTTTGACGTATGAGTATATGTTACCCAGGGTGCACAACGTGGAGGTAAGTCTATCGTACACCCCATATATATGAAGAAGTTTTATGTTTTTCAGCGATTTCCTAAAAAAATAAAAATTACGTATAGTGTGAATATTTTTCATACATGGGTATTTGTATACATGTAGCTGAGTATCCAAAATGGGGTAAAATGTTGGCAACGCTAACTTTAATTAGATAAATTTCCATTCCTCATTTTTGTCAGGTGGTATCACCATGGGTGATATACTCCTTGATGAATCGGTTTCATATTTCCGACTTACACTATGAACCTTTCACGATTGCTATCTGTTTGAACTTAGAGGGAATTTTCCTCTCGAATATATTTTGCGCCTGCCTTACACGTTTAACACATTAACATGGGCCGATGTGTTGCTTATATACTCACTAACATATATGCGTTCCTATTAGTATAAATGCATATGAAAGGATATTGTCGATAGGCAACTTTGCTCTCCAAAATTTGCCCATTATTTTTTCCATTTTTATGATGGGTCCTGCTTTTACATGCATGTATCACAACCTTTTTGAACATCATTATTTGGTGTAGGCAGTAATTAGATGATGGCCTAGCTGGATCCACCACGAGACATTAGACCCAATTCAACTCAGTTATTTCATTACCATGCGAATTCTAGGTTAGCTTAACGTGTACAGGAAGCCGATCCATCGATTGGTCTCCTTCAGGAAGTACAACGTATATCTATGGTAACTGAAAAGGAATAAAGAACAATAAAAAATGGTTTTGAGACACTTGAATAGTAAAGAATGCAGTTGATAAATCACAGGTGTTTTGAATTATTATAAGAAACCAGTGGTCAGGCGGTGAAAAGGCGTTTAACAAAATTCCAATGCATGGGTTTGTCCAGCTTTGAATGATTGTCACAGAAAAGTGACAAGAATATCCTCGTACAATTTGATCCTCTGGTAAAAGTCGCATAACGCTTATTATGTTTATTCTAAAAGTTTGATTTATGGTCAAATTATTTGACTTAACAATAGCTGTCTTATTTTTAACTTGTCAGTCATTCATTCAGTCATTTGGTCGAGGCATCTGAAAAACTTTAGTTGCTATAAGATTAATGTAAAGACAGTCTGCTCATGGCGATACGCTTACCTCAGGTCATAAAACACATGAAAATTATGAAAAGCTTTTGCAGATTTATTTCCAATTAGACTTCGCTTATAATGGAAAAGGAAATCCAAATGATTATAACTGGCTAAAATTAATGCTTTCATTTTGCTCTTACGCAAGGTAAAATAAAATGCAATAAGCGGTTATTTGAAAGTTACTGCCCTTTTATAATTAAAATAAATGAAAATTTTTTCATCATTTCAAAGGGAGAAAGTGTGGGAACAATACACATAATATGATAACTAATTTTAGTTTGATTTTCATACAAAAATTATTTTCAGTGCTTGCAAACTATTAGTCCGGAGATAAATTACCCTGTGATAAAACAGCTTTAAGAAATATACTTGGAAGATTATTTAAATATTCCAGTGGAGAAGATTGTTTATGCGCAGATAATAGTTTCTGGTTAATTATACATGATTCCGCTTTAATCCATACGAGTTTTGAGCAAGCAAAATATTTTCACCAAATAATGTGGAAGTCTGCTCGAGGATTTGCTAACAACTCAATCTTTTCTAATACCTGTCCCCAAAAATTGGCAGCCATTTAGAGCTTTGATGTACAATTAGAATAAAAATAAAACTCCTTTCTTTATTAAAAGTCTTATCTAAAGATCGAAGTACTTACTGAATTCAAATGCATAATAGAGAAAATTTGGCGAATATAAAAAGGAAATAGTAACTCTTTTCAAAATAATTTGATAAAAATAAAGCTTTCTTACATTTTGACCAATATTCACTTTGTTCAATTATACTTTAAATTAGGTTGCATCAAAATGTTCAAAGTTTATATAAAGACACTACATGTATTAAATTAGAGGAAAAATGACAGGACATCTGACCTATTTTTTTAAACAAATTAGCCATTACCTATAATGGTTGAACAACGCTTTCAACACCTTATAAATAACACATAATTTAACCTTGAGATAATGGGCGCGTTATATAAAGGATTTTATATTCGCCCGACAGACATTGTTCTCCAGACGAAATATAGTTCAAGGAAGTTAAAATGGGTCAGATTGGGTTAATTTCAAGCATTATACATGTTATATCTTTAAGACTCTTTGAATGCTTCTAATGTGCAGTGACTTCTTAATAATCATATTTTGTATTTTTGAAATGCTGATTTTATTTCTGACCCAATACACTAACAAACTACCTACTTATTTCACATTAATATTGTTAAATTTAGTAAACAACATTGGTTTACTTATAATTGAGGGAGATTTAAACTCAAATCGATTGGAACAAATATTAACGCATGCGTCGTCCCTAATCTCCAGTGAATTATATCTAGCTATACGGCCGTTTAAATCCGAGGATCACTCAAACGGAAGTTTGAAACAATTCATTAGTCTCGTTTACTCGTACGCCTCATCTGTATGTTCCTTTGTAGATTTTGCTTATTTTGATCATGCTTTAGGCATGCCCAAACCTAGATATTTATATTTCTCTTCCTCCATTTATCCACAAAGTGTGTGGCTATGATGTAATTATAACAGTTAAAATAAATGATAACCCGGAAGAACTTGTAACGAAGGTCAAGCATCTTGATGGAACTTTTGATCCCAGAACAATGCTAAGTGGTATGTTCAATGAACGCTGACTTTATTATGCTCAGACTATGTTCAGGTATTTGAACAATCAAAAATTAGCACATTTAAATCAGTTTGCCTTGGAGGAACGTTCGATATTCTTCACAATGGCCATCGTCTCTTATTAACGCTCGCAGCTATGCTAGCTGAAAGCAGACTTCTTGTTGGTGTCACTGACAGCCGCCTCCTCAAAGGAAAGATTTTAGCTCCTCTAATCCAAACCCCTGAGAACAGGGCTGCTTGTGTAAAGAATTTTCTAGAGAAGATCGGGTTCGATATCAACCGTCTTGAGATCTTCTTTTTAACTGATCCTTTTGGTCCACCTGCTTATCAGCCTGATTTTAATTGCATAATTGCCAGTGAGGAGACTGTTCCAGTATGTCTCTTTGTTAAAGGACAGTTCCATTTATGTAAATTTATTTTAGTGCTTGTATTCTCTCTCACTATCTCTTTAAGGGGTGTGAAAAGATAAATCAAATACGAAGTGATAAAGGATTCTCGCCTCTACACATTGAGAAGGTTGACTTTGTGGGCAGTGGAGGGTAAGTCAGTAAGATGGCTGTTTCAAAATAAAAACGCACTATTTTCAATTCGCTTATAATGCTTCTAGTATGGAGACTCTCCTGCCGAAAGATTACACAGATTCAAAAATCAGTTCTTCTAGTCTTCGGATGAATCTCCTAGGTCGGTGTTTATTGAGGGAGTGCGTTGAAGAACGGCAACCAAAAGGCGGAAATTGGATCATCGGATTAACAGGTTGTATAGCCTCTGGGAAATCAAGCATATTAAAACTTCTTCAAGATTGTTCTGATGATCGTATCCGCGTGATCGATGTAGATCATCTGTTGGAGTTGTTTTGCAAGTGAGTTTATTTATATGCTGATATTTTATTCCAATTCTTTTGTAAATTTACCTGAAAAGCCAACCTACCTTTCATGTCAGGTGAATGATTAATAATTCAAACGTTAGGGGGCGTTTTGAAAAGGACAAAAGTAGTGGAATTTGGCTGGAGTCGTTTGACAAATGAAAGCCATGAGTTCATTTATATATTAATGAGATAGTATAAATCTGAGGCAAGCTGCTCACTGCCATCAAGGAGCATCAGAAAAATTGCTCGTCTGCAAAGTCAGAGGTTCATCATCCATTGCCGTCTGCCTTAATGAGCGAAATGGTTATGTTTTGGTAGGAAAATGGGAGGCGGTGACAAAAGTCAAGCTTCTCATCAGGGAAGCTCTATGGTACTGCCCTCCATCCAAAATGAATTGGATTTTTTATCTGTGGGTGTGTTCTCATTAAATTTCTCATCGAGTGTGGGTAAATGTGGCATCACTTCAGATATCTCCAGATATCAATATTTTGGCCAAATCTGACGATTACTACACCGCCTAACGCTCTTCATTTGCACACACACGCACACACACACACACGCACACCCTACGATGCGAATAAATTGACAACTATAGAATAAAGAAATACTAGTCCTACGTTCTTAAATGAAATATAAGCAATAAGTCCCTAGGATCTGAATTTCTATTTTAGTCAAAATCAAGGAAGTTGTGAAAATCTCAAAACCTATTTTGGCATGGAGATAGTTAAACGGCTAGACGCGTCCTTCGACATGAGTGCTTATGAAAAGACTGTGATAATTTCCAAAATCCAATCAGAAATTGATCAGGTATTGTCAGAGACGCGATCAAAGCAGCCCGTCATATTTCTTGAAGGATCTCTTCTCTTTACAACGGGTTTAAATTGCCTATGTGACGAGGTAACCATTGAATTTAGGATTTTTCGCCTTTCTGCGTTCCAATTGAAAATATTTTCTTTTAGATATGGACTGTTTACATTTCTCGTTCGGTAGCTCTATCACGAATCACAAAACTGCTGGAAACGGAGTTGGTCAAAGAGATAGGGGAGCTTTCGAGTGACTTGAAAGTTGATTGGTGGGCACCATGTCAACGGGATTCAGGCCGCGTTCCGATTGGTCAGTCTAGTGTTGTGTTTTGTACTCTTTGGGACGAAGAATTCACGAGAAAGCAGACGGAGCGTGCTTGGAAGTACTTTTCCCATCACCTTTTGTAAATTAGTTTGTATTTTTTTCTATTTGATTCAGTGTTCTGAATGCGTTTTGCCTCGTGCTAGTCATACTTTTGACTATAGGAGATGAAAGCATGCCAGAAAGATACTTTTAGAGGGATATTGAGTGCTAGGGGATCGCCAACTCAAGGTCTATGCAGAAGGAGTGGCAAACAAGTTGCGGCATGATTAGCTACAAAATGGCCATTAATTCTATGACCCATTAAGAACAAATTGATACTCCAAGGTAGCACAAGATTACGACCCAGCAAACTTGCAAACTATGGGAAATAATTTGCAAAATCTGCGAACGAATCTTTTTTTCGACATCTTCTGGAGGAACTAATATAACGATCAGGCAAATGAATACGCTGGATCTTAGGAGTTTTAGAATTCCACCATGGATTTTGGGGACAGGCGTCGAGATAGATCTCGCTTTCCAAGAACGAAAATATTTGCGATAGCTCACAGAGGGTTATACGCCAACGTGAATCGCCGTTCTCCTGTGACATGAGAATCTGACATCTTACACTGTCAAGAAGTTCTATTATCCAGTCCATTTATCTGAGTTGGAGAACGTGAAACGAGATGGATCACTCAAATTAAATAGAAGGGAACTGGATGATACTTTTAAAAATACAAGTTTGTGTTACACAACTATTAATAATTACCTAGAGGAGACTGTCAATGGAGGCACATTTGAAATGTATGAAGACAGTTAATTTCTGTGGATGAGCCCTCGAAAATTTGTAGAATAGCGAGTAATTCATTGTCTATTGAGAAACCAATGACATTTCACATTCATCATTAGTAGAAAACGTCAGAAACGGCTCGTCCTGTGGGTTCGCCACATCCTACAACCTGATTGGTCTTCAACTAGCCACAAATCCCAAAGATGTCAATAAGAACACGCAATTATCACTCTTAAATTTGTCAAAACAACGAGCTTACAATTTAGCTCACTTATATAAGTACACAAATTCTGTGCATAAGTAACAATGGATTGTGGATTGAATTCTTTCTCGAGGAAAGCTATTTATGCTCTACAAAATAGAAGTTGGATGTGCAATCAAAGTTTAGTAGGTATATTTATGTCAGTTTGGAATGCGTGAATTGTATTCAGATGGACGTTATCAGAATAGGGTCCAAGAGCCTATCCCATGGAATATTGAAGCAAGGTGAGTGTTCGGAGTCACAGTGCAAATCACTGGATTTGACAACTTATATTCCGTAGTAAAGATAGGAATGACGATTGAGTTCATTCAGTGTTTTTTGGATGGAATTGTTGGTGGAGTATTCGTCGTGGTAAAAGCAGTCCTATTAGCACTTCCATTTGCTTATATCGGTTAGAGAATGTCTCCTTTCAAACCCTCATCCGTCACTCATAAAGGCCTGCCATTAAGATTAGAGGTGATACTAACACCCAATCACATTTGGAAAGCTTTTCCTGATACTCACCTTAGGTGAGTGGGTAGCATCGTACACCTCTCCGGGTGAGTGTAATGCAGCTCTAATTCCGAGCTGACTGGGTCAGACTAACTGGACCCAGCAACCTCTTCCAAACCGGAGGAAAGTGAGTTGTTGTTGGTGAGTGTTGCATAGAATTGTTAGAGGTTGGCATCAAGAAGTGTATGGGCAAAGTTATAGTTATGTGGAGGCACTCTTGGAGCTAAAGAGCCATGTTGGATAGTTCGAAACCTCCCAATTGTGGGATTTCAACCCATTGTGAAGTAGTCAAACTGAATGTATGGATGCATCTCGACATCGAGATGTGAGGAAGTCGGCTTAGATTGACAGACAGATGATTTAAGTACGTTGTGGAAATCAATCAGTATCAATTGACCGAGTTGGCCTGGAGTTACCAACACGCGAAATTATTATTTCACTCGTGGTACGATTTTAGTACAGAGGAATCAAGCAATTTGGAAGCTCGGGAACCACCGATGGGTGCCAGACTTGTGACCTCTACTTTGGCAAACAACCACGGATGTTGGTCAAAAGACTGATTGCAACATTTTAAGTTCAATTTTCAGAGGCTGCAAGACGCCTCACTTTGCCCAAGTTGTCAAAATTCGGAAATATGACTAAGTGATGAAAATGGCATTTTAGACCATCTTAACATTGATAATGGAAGAGCCATAGAAAAATTTACAAACATTTTTCCGCCAGTTTTGAATCCTTTGTTAGAACCCGATTTTGAATAAATATGTAACTATTGCATATATGCATTATATAAAATACATTTTATCATTAAATTCTTAAAAATAAGATCATCTGATAGAAGTATTCAAACCAAGAAAGTCGTAAAAATGCAATTTCCAGCGGAGCAAAGGCTTTATAAGTTAATTTTACTGAAGAGTGCTTTATCTATTAGGTTGGCAACTAAGTCATTGCCGATTTCAAATAAGAAGGCAAATTCGGAATTTTTGTTTAAAAATATAACTTTATTCAATTAGATATTGGCCGTTCTTGTCGATGACCTTTTTCCATCGTTCTGGCAGAGTAAAAATTCCCCGTTCGTAAAATGTCTGGTCTTTGCTATTAAAAAACTGCATTAGGTGTGATCCGACATCATCCGCGTTGTTAACAATTTTACCATTTAAAGAGTTTTGCATGGAACGAAACAAATGGTAATCCGAAGGCGCAAGGTCAGGGCTATATGGTGGGTGTGAGTGACAAAACATCCCAACCCAGTTCCAATAATTTTTGCCGAGTAACCAAAGATGTGTGCGGGGGCCTTGCGTTATCATGATGGAAAACAACACCCTTCCGCCGATTCGATAATGCCGGCCGCTTATCTTCAATTGCATCCTTCAGTTTTTCGAGTTCTTCAACATACACATTTGAATTTATTGTTTGGTTCTGCGGCATGAGTTCAAAATACAAAATCCCCCTGTGATCCCACCAGACTGACAGCATAATCTTTTTTTGGTGAATCTCTGCTTTTCATACTGTTTGGGCTGGTTGATCTTGCTTCACCCATGATCTCTTGCAAGTAACATTGATATAAACTATCCACTTTTTGCCGCCAGTAACTAGGTTCTTCAGAAATGGATCATCCTCATTGCGTTTCAGTAGCGAATCACAGATGCTAATACATTGCGTCAAATGAATTTCCTTTAACTGGTGAGGGATCCATTTATCAAGTTTCTTGACATAACCAAGGGTTTTTAATTTTTTTCAATGGATTTATGCGACACATTGAGCTTCTCTGCAATATCTCGTGTTGTGCTGTGACGATTTGAATCGATAATGGCCTTGATATGGGTTTCATCCACTTCGACTGGGCCCCCAGATCGTTGTGAATTTTTCAGTGAAAAATCACCGGAACGAAATCTTTCAAACCAATTTCAACACTGCCTTTCTTTTAAGGCTTCATCTCCATATACGGCACATAACTTCTTTTGTGCTTGCGATGCGTTCTTGCCTTTTCGGAATTAATACAATAAAATGTGTCGGAAGTGCACGTCCTGTTCTTTCATTTTTAAATTGGGATAAAAACAAAACTAAAGAACTAAACGAAAAAAATTTTTTACTAATTAACCTAGAAGCCCATACAGTAAGAAAAAAATATAGGTTAGATGCTTTGGCCACGTTAACAAAACAAAAGAAAGCGTAGAGTGAATCCGTCAACAAAAACGGCAATGACTTAGTTGCCAACCCAATATTATCTTCGCCTACTCATTTAGCAGACAAACAGGATTTATTCAGCTATTTCATTAATTTATTCAAAGTATCCGAGTTAAGAAAGCTTTTTCCAATACCCGTCTCTGCAAAATCTCTCTGGTGTAAAGCTCCACTTTTTGATTCCCCTCTTCACTATCTAGTGTTCATTCGTACCACTGTGTGTGTGCACCGCTCTGCCTTGAACCAGCCTATTATGTGGACCTGGCGCCTTAGCTTACCTGGTTCTAGAAACAGGAAGTCAGGTGGAAGGCGGCTACACTCTACACGTCTATTTGTAAGGAAGAAATATTTATTTATTTCAAATAGCAGGCGTTTTGGTAGTCATCATTAGTCCTTTACCTGACTTCGAGCTTCACAGTGGACAGGAACATCAAGGTGAGAAAAATTTAAGAAGGGAACAGAAAAGTGATTAATAGATATAAAAATGACAGACAGACACAAAGGCAGAGAAAAGGTAAGGTGAGTACTGTGGAAGTGGTCGAATATGACATACAGTGGGGTGATGGTAATTTGAAGTGAGAAGTCAACTGCCGGGTAATAGACTTTTTTGCCGTATGAGTATACGTTGCCTAGGGCGCACCACGTGGAGGCAAGTCTATCGCACACTCCGTAATTAAGAAATATAAATCACTTCTAATGTATAAGC